AATCTTGGAGTAAATTATTAGATAGAATATCTGAATGTAAAACAGCTTATTATACTGCATGTAAAACAGCTAAATTAGCTGATGATGCTGAACATATAGCACCAGCTGAGCAACGAAAAAAATATGCTGATAAAGCTGAAATAGCAAGACGTGAAATTGATTCTACAAAAACTAAATATCAACAAGTTATTAATGAAGCTAAAGAACAAAGACCACGTTATGAATTAGCTATGAAAGAAGTTTTTGAACGTACACAAGCATTTGAAAAAGAACGATTGGATTTTTTTAAAGAAACATATGATGAATATTTAAAATTATTAGAAATAGCGACATTAGATAAGTAAGTTCATTATTTTATAAACTCTTTTTCTTTTTGTTAAACTGTACGTTTCCTATTTTTTGAAAGTTTGATTTTGAAAAAGATGATTGATGATTATAAAGCTTCTTTATCTATACATAATCCTCAACAAGATTTAACATGGTGGGATCAAAATTATGGTATGTTATTTATTATTATTTTACACATGATTTCTTTGTTATTTTTTGTTTTTGTTATATAGGTACTCAAACAAATAGTCGATGGCCTGAATATGAGGAATGTCGAGATTAAAATTAATAATACTGCAATTTATCCATGATAACTTAATATTTTTATCTTGATAATATATTTCACTGTATTGTTTGTTGTTTGGTGCACAGAAATAAAATGTTGAAATTTAATAGATTTATTATCTCTTATTCTCTGTGTTTTTTTTTATTGCTTGAAATTAAAATAATATGTTCAATCGAACAAATGAATTTTTTTCTATATAATTATGTAGAAACCTTCAATAGTTATAACAATGTCAAATAATTCACGATAAATAAATAACAGAAAAAGGCAATATGATAACATTGTGATGAGTAATGCATCTTCTGTCCTTTTGAGTTTCTTATGGTATTGAATTTTTGATCAGATACTAGTCTCTATTTCTGTAAACTAGATTGTATTATGTAAGGCAAAGATCAGATATCATCGAAATGAATATATTTTAAACTTGTTATTATTTTATTGCAATCTCTGAGAAATATGACGAGACATTTACTATCATGTACACTATATCAAGAACACTTACTATTCGAATCAGAGATATTCAATAACAATTGCAAAGATTATTCAAGATATGTTTGTTTGTTCGATTGCTATACAATTTTTATTATATCATTTTTCCTACATACTTATTCTTACAAGCAAACAAGAATGAGTATTTTCTTCACATTATAATCAGCATATGTGCCTGGATAAACTTGATTTACTAACTATTATTTACAGATCATATTCATTTTTATTGGTTTTTATTAGTACATGATCGTTTCTGAGGATCATAATTTTCGTCTTGGACTATCATGAATTATACTTGTAATATTAAAACATCAGCTGCCAGATGCTGTACTGCTCTACCATGACAACTAGTATTTTGAAATATTACATACCAAAGATCAGATGTTGTCATCAGAGGACATCGTCGTATAAGTATTTCATATAGAAAATAAAAGCAGAATACTTCAATCAAACACTATGGACTAGGGTAATGGCTCAGACGTTAGCAACAAACGAATTAATTAAGAGGAAAGCCATTTTTATAATAGATTTCATCAACTTACTGGAATCCATGGGATGGTTTGCAAACAACGCGATCCAGCCCATGACTCCGTGGATCTAATATCGAAAAGACGCTCTATCTTTACCCATCCATCTAGTTAGACGTCGGATGTGGATACTAATTTACTGAGCGAAAAACACCAATCTGGCGATATCTCACGTTGAAATCACAATTTCCTGATATACATACTTTCGATGATGATCTTATTTATTCGTCTGTTCATTTATATGCAGCGTTCGTTTTCTGAAATCAAAACTTATTGATCTGTTATTCAATACCCAGGAGACATATCTTCACAACATTTACCTTGATTACATGGAGCTGACAAAGATCCAAAACGCAATAGAAACCTTGTTCCATCCTTTGAAATCAAGCTCAATCAAAACATACTTGTTTGTAAGAATACTTACTGCCCATATTGTTAACACTGTGTTGATTGACAACGAGCAGCAAACAGCGTTTTTCTATTTCAAATCAAATCAGAATAAAACAAAAAAAAAAATCGAAAAATCAAAAGACAACGTGGTTGAACAAACAGTACAATTGAAACTCCTGCATAATATCGTTCAAAAACAAGCATGGATGTAGGCGCAGAGAAGCCATGCACACTCGCACTCACGCCCACATCCTTGTGTCCGGTATTAGGAATATCATTTGTGAAATCGTTAATGTTATCAAAAAAAAAAATTAAAGTTTTATCCGATTTCGTTGTGGAACATTGGCAAGAACTGCTCTTTTATTCCCGATTTGATTCTTACGGAGGACCAGTCCTGTTAGTGTCTGTTTTGAGGAGGCAGTGAGTGATAGATAGAGAAGGTGAGAATATTACTTTGTTTTCTTCGAGGGCTTCGCCAAGATGTTGTGCTCCTTCATTACCGATTTGACTGCAATGGAGGTTCAGTGTGGTTAGTGTCTGTTTCGAACAATCGGTGAATGATAGATAGAGAAGGTGAGAATATTACTTTGTTTTGTTCGAGAGCTTTGGCAAGATGTTGTGCTCCTTTATCACCGATTCGATTCCAAATGAGGTCTAGTGTTGTTAGTATCTATGCATGAGAATAAGAAAGTTGAAATGATGGAAGATTTTATGAAGTGATATCGTAGTGCGACTGATAATGGATAGGTATAGGTTCATTTTTTAGAAAAATCTTTGATTTAGTGCAATCACACCGGGGTGTTTTGTTTTGAGCAAAAATACACGGTAAAATTTCCTAAGTATGTATATTGTTTGTAGTGCATATTCAATGTACATCCTCAACCATAAGAATATCACATACTCTCAAGCATATCCCATCCCACACCCTTGATCATTTTTTTAAAGTGTCAGAAGAGATTACAGTTGTCTCGGAAAAAAAACAGAAGCAAATGAATCTTATGATTTTTTTGTATTGTTATAGTCATTATATTGAAAAATATGAAATTCTATTTATCTTTCACGGTATTCGATTGATGTCGAGTGAAAAAAAGAACTATCATCCATGTTGCAGCAAATATTAAATCAGTAAGAAGTTGTCCTTTCAAATCTTTTTGTAGTGCTTGAACTCGAGCTTCAACACATATTCTCCATGTAGCTAATAATAAATGTATTAAAATACAACCTTTGGAGAAATATCTAAATTGAATAAAAATTAAAGAAAACAAAAACATGATTCGATAAAAAAGAAATCATGCAATTGAATTTTACCGTTGCAATTCGATTTGTTCAAGATGAGATATCATATAAAGAAGAATAGCAATGAAGATAAGCATCATACCCACAAGCGATTCAGATGTTTGTATAAGTTGAGATTTCGCATCTTCATCAGTTAAATGCAATTTTTCTGTAACCCCTTCGCTATGTAACAAACGGGCAAGAGTGCTTACACTGAACACCATAAATGAACCCGTGAAAACATCGATAAAAGCATGAAATAAACAAACTATACGAAATAATGACCACGAAGACATTTTGTGAATACTAAATTATTTATTTATTGTTTATCTGTTGACTTGTAGTGATAATTGACATTTAATCTGTTCATTCTTTCTTTCTTTCATTTTCTATAAGAATATTTTTGGCCAACAAGAATAAATACAGAAGCCTCCACTATAAAAAAAAACATGTTTTTTGTAATCAAGAAAAACTAATTAAAATTGTACTTTATTTCAATTATTATCTGTTCAGAAGGAACCAAGGATGTTAGTTTTACTTATTTATATTATATTGTTTGAATAACTAAAACTCTTTTATTAGCATCTATGAAATGTAGGATTAAAATAATCTTACGAGGGAAGTCTTATAACTCGTTTTCGAGTCGAGTCTATATGTATTATGTAGGCTATGAATATCCTGAAAAGATTTTACTACGGCGGAAAACTGCACTCTTGTGATATTTTTTAAAAACAAATGCCGTAGTCCGTCTCAGGAACATCAGAAAAACTTATTTTCAAATTTCGACTTGAAACTTTGCATAGAGATAGACCTTAACAAGAATAGTTTTTTGTAAACGTTTCAAATCTTATTGCTGGTTTTACTCTAATATACAACTATTGTCATAGCATGTCTTCTACATTCCTCAAATAAATCGGCAGATCTGATGTTTTTTTTTTTAGGATAGAAGCAAATCAAAAGAATTGAAACTCTCACCATAAGCTACTCTTGTTAAATCCTGCCTCGATGCAAAGTTTCAAGTCGAAATTCGACAATCAGTTTTTCTAGTGTTCTTGATGGAGATCACAGCATTCATTTAGTTGCTAACTTTGGGGTACAATGCATTGAAGGTAGCGCCACTTTCAATGTATTGTTGTACCTTAGAGCTGCCAGATCTCTTCTTAGTCTGCATAATGCACATAGGCTCGACTCAAAATCGATTTATTAGTTGGAGGACTTTTCTCGTGAGTTCTTCAATAGTAATATCATATGTTTAAATTTTATATGCTTCAAAAAATTATCATTAAGTATTTCAAATAACTTTGTATGAAATTACACAAATACAGTTAATATAAAAAATCAACTTAAGAAATTTTCGTATTTTAAAATTCTACTTAGTTATACACAATTATTTCATCTTTATTTTTTTTTCTTTTCGAATACAATGAATAATATTCTCATCTATAGATAACTGCTTATACATGCCATAATAATCATTATCATCATTTCATTCGTTTTTTTTCGTGTTACTACAGATGATATTCAATGGTATCAATCAAAAAAACTTTCATATACTACATTCCATCGTTATCTCTATTTTTCCTCTCTCTTTCTCTCTTCTAGCGGCTTTTTATTTTCAGACATATTCAATTCATTTTTTCGTATATAATTGTCGTTATCTATTGCTTGTGGGTTTGTACATCACTCGTCTTTTGAATATACAACTAATGGGTGCTAAATTAGGCAAAAGTAAAAGTTTATTGATCTCAGAAAAAATTAATGAACAAGATAAATCAATGATCACAAATTCAAATAATCATACCAATGGTACAATAATAACATTGGAAAAAAAGTTTAAAAAGAACACGGAAAAATCTTCAAATAAAAAATCATCAAATACAAAGGTAGATAAATATACAAGTACAGATGGTGGTATAATATCACCATTACCATCATCATCTATTAAACAACTCGTTGATGGCTCTAGATGTAATAATCTTTTGTCTGATGTTCACACTGTCGAAACAAATTCAATTTATCAATCTGAAACACCAAGTAAAGATGTACTAGAATTTCGCAATGCTTGTATTCGACGTGGTATTATTTCTCCAGAAACGAATAATTTTATTTTACTAACATCAAAGGAACAAAACTATCAAGTAAATACTGTCAATGAATCGACAAATGAAACTACAACAAGAGCAGTCGGTACGAATAATGCACAAGTTCAAAATGAATAACAAGTTGAATCGTAAAAAAAACAATACTAATAATAGTCGAAAAATATTTTCTTTTATTTGTTTTTTAGAGATTATGAAAGCAAATATTAGTCAAAAAATCTATTAAATCAATACATTTTTCAATCATCGAACTCAAACTTGGTTAATCAAGATTCATCGTTTTTTTTTTCTTCAGTCTCATTTCATGTTAGTTATTTGTTTTCTATTGTAATAGAGTATCTTTATCATTTCATTGCATTATTCTTTTAAAGAATTATTCTAATTGCTTCAATTTTTTACAGATATGATTTTCGAAAGTATTAGAAAATATTAATATATAATAGCTTAAGGGGTCCTTGCCTCATTGCCGAGGCTTCTCGGAAGTGATTCTACGAAAAATTATGAAGGATAGAGATATGGGGAGGGGGGAGGGAAGGGAAGGGGAGGTCGCAATGGTCAAAAGCTCCTTTTCTCCTACAAAACTCTATATTTTATTCTTGCAAGTTGCATTTTTTATGACAGCTAGGATCAAATCGAGATGCGTGATTTTTTTTCCTGTCAAAAATATCGTTTGTAGAGATCAACAAAAGCAAAAAAAATACTCGAAGTATCGTTAAAACACGTATTTTTTTTTCAATGGCTGGCAAATTTCGTAGGAACAATATTTTGAAGAAAAATAACATACACCTCAATTTGATCTGAGTACTCATGAAAAACCCTTGAGCTCAATCGGACTTACCGTGTGGAAAAAAAAGAAGAAAAACTCCAGTTTTTTTTTCGTTAAAAAAAAATTGATTTTGAGGAAAATACAAAACAATCTTTCTTTTACGTACCAGAACTTTTTTCCTTCAACTAAAGTGATCGACAACAACTGGTCGTGTTCAATAGTGTTAGAAGACCATGACCCATGCTCTCAGCATCTTTAGAAATTATCATTAGAACAATTTCACATGCAACGAATAATTGTAGTGCGAGTTTTTCGAGAGTTGAGTTTAGAAAAAGTGCCAACTAACAACAAAGAGTATTCGAAAAATAAAAAATTTTAATTCTAACATCCGACAAGGGAAAATTCTTATTGAAATACATCAATGAAATACAGGATAATCTGATATAGAGTTCGATGGTGATTTCAACAATTACTCGAAATAGGATCCTTTAAATCATTAGATTAATACGAAAATTTTAAATATATTTTGAGAAATTTTCACTATTGAATTGTTGAGATTAAAGACGCCACATATTTATATACATAAACAAAACATTATTATACATCTATACTAAAATCTTTAATCTCAAGAATGAAAAAAAACTAAAGTTTTTCTATATAGATTTAAGAACTTTTTGTATTTATCTGATGATTTTACCATTGCAGTAGCATTCAATTTATTCGCTTACCAGTATGCATATGCATAAAATTCGTGTCATCATATTGTATAAATAGTTATATGTTATTTGATGAGTTTTATTCATATATTGAAGTGAAAGAAAGATGAACATTCTTCATTTGAAAAACAATAAATTCTTAATGTTTGAAGAATTAAAACAAACTCCGTATATTTGATCATATTAATAAAAATCATTAGTTGCATCGATTATAAAATGCAGAATATATACGTTAAGAATTCTAGTACCTTTTATTTTCAGAATTGAGAAAATCAATCTTGCAGTTTAGAAATTCAATGTAAAAGTAATGTATATATGATCTAGTACAACATTTAGTAGTTACTTAAAAAATTGGCTGAGGATTTTAACTAGAATATCTATAACATCTAAATAACTAAATCTAAGGCTCGCGTAATTTTGCAGTTCTTTCATTGGTGCTTCGGATTACACATCTGATAATTATAAAATTCACTATAGTTACTTGACAGCGTACGTTGGCTTTGAAAAATATACAATTCAATGAGTCTTCATCTTCTTTTTCTAAAAGTGGAAATTGCAGCTCTCTATCTTGTTTCTATAAAAAGTTATATAAGCAACAATCTCCAACCACCTTTTTTTTGTCATGAAATGGAGATTAGTACAAAACAAAAATAATCACTTTTCGTGTATATTTTTTCATTTCTTTACTTAATGCTCTCTACTTGATTCTTAGTATATCATTAAAGTATGCTATAATCTTTATTCTAATCATATAAATCATCATTGTATTATTCATATTATCACGTTCGTTTTCTATGATCACATTCTTTAAACATACATGCAAACTTTATAGTATTTTGATTTTGCTCTAACATAGTTCTATAGAAATATTCTTATTAATCAACATGATTTCAATGAATAATAAGAAAAATATGCTTTGATTTAAATACATTTTTTTGTTTTTGTTTTTCATTAGATAATATAATCACCAGACGTATTAAAGACAATAATAAGTATGAGACTGAAAGAAATAGTAATAATAATAAAAACAAACGCAAAAATAGGAATTATTTTTAGGATCAAAAATAAAAAAGAGACAAGACAAAGAAAGATACTGTTTAAAAAAATTAATAATAAATGCTAATTTACATGTGTAATCTCGTATTGAATAATCTTCGATAAATACTAAATGTTATATAATTTTCATTATAAATTTTAATGATAATATGTTCTTAACGTGACCAGCACGTTGGATAAACAGGAAAACAACAAAATAAAAACATATTTTGAAATAATCTGAGACGATTCTTTTATGGTTTTTTGAAAAAGAAAAAGAAAAATAAAGAATGTCATCCTATCACTGGCAATATGGAATTTGATGAAGATGAAATCGATGATGATTCAACGACAAGAGAAGATGTTGTTGATGATATTGATGATGATGATGAATTATATAAACCTTCAACTCGTGTACCTGGTCCTAAACGATATTCTCTTCCACGCCATATAACTGTCGATGAACCAGTGAATGCTTTAAAATAGATGTAAAATGATGAAAATTCTCGAATAAGCCATGCAATAGCAAATTCAAATTTTGAAAAAGGAAGTGGACCACCCTAAATAATAGATATTTATTTAAAAATTAAATTTTTTTTTAAGTTAATTTACTTGTACTAGTCGAAGCATAAGATAATCAGAAATAAACCATATTAAAATATGACAAGCAGCAACAACAAGAGAATTCCATTCAAATAAATAATTTGTAACAATACCAGCTAATATAGCTGATGTAAATGATTCTTGTAATGGTTCAATATAAGCTAATGGACTTAAACGCATTCTTAATTTACACCATCGAATCATTCGATCAGCCCATGATGATATAGAATAATTACCAGAATTTTGTTGTGCAGGTGTTGGTGCAACACGTAATTTTAAACCTTGTTTAGTTATTTCATTTGCAAGATAATAATCTTCAGCAATATAATGACCAAAAGCTTTTAGACCGCCAACTCGATCAATACAATCTTTACGTATTAAACAAGACATTCCAGTTACACAATTTATACCTATTAAATTAATTGTCATATACATACGAGCATGTTGTGTACCAAAATAAACCTAGAAAAAAACGATATATCATTAACTTTCAATATAAATTTTATAAGATCAAACATATGAAACAGATAAGATTATGAGGACTTACTGAGATTTGCTTGACCAGTAGTAGTAGTAGACAGATAAGATTAATTCATGAGAAAGGAGGGGGGGGGAGAGGACATTTTAAAAACTATATTCTGAACCTATTTTTTAGTTGATCTTGATTGTTAATATGACCTACTACCGACTTCAGTCAATTGACCTAGGATTAACTCATCATGTTACCACGCTACATAGTGGTGGATTGTGAAACTTTGAAAATACTCAAATAACAATGTCAGATAATTTCAAATACAAAAATAAATATTGTCATTCGACTTAGCATGATGAATTATCCCTGTCAAGATGTTCTTCAGAGTGATCCAAGGTCAATTGGCTGAAAATGGGTGATCTCAAGAAAACCTTTATAACAAGTTAGCAATGTCGACCTTGCATAGATCGAAAGAGAACAATTTTTTTCTATCTATTGATTATATTAATAATCAAGATCAACTTGAAAATGAAATCAGTATATCGTTTTTAAAATATTCATCAAGAATCAATCAAATTTCAGTAAGTATTTATACGCCTGAGTCTTCTCTTTCTAATAGTAAAAATTGCAAATCTCTGCCGTATTTATATTAAAAATTTATTCAAATAATATCTTATAACTCTTCTGTTTTAAAAATGTACAATAGTACAAGTACGATGAATCGACATTAATATCTGGTATTTCGCTACCACACACTTTTTTTTTGCTAAAGGTAAAAATCTAAAAAGGTGTCAAGGTTTTTTCTATTCGTTTTATTTATTTATTTTCTTTTTGTTTTGATTCAGCATCTAAAAATTAATGTCAAAGACAAACCTTTTCAACTGTTCCAGCAAAACCTTTTCTATTATGAGTAAATGGTAGTTGATGAACAAGACCAACATCATCAGTCATATACAAAACCATTTCATACAATGTATCTTCATGCATCATTAAACCACTATCTGAGATTAAAAATAATGGATATTGAGCTTTTTCATAAGCTGCTAACATATTAGATATTTTTGGATTTATTATTTCTGTTGTTCCAGATTTTAATGATCCATCACCGGATGAAAGTTTTTTTGAGACTATATACAAAAACAAAAACAAAAGAAACAATGAAAATTTATATTTATAAAAGAAATTATGTAGAAAAAAAAAACGATAATATAAATATTGATTATCAAAAAAAAAACGAGAGTTGTTATTTTTACATACCACAACATAAAGTTTGTTTTCGTAATGGAATTCGTTTATTTCTTGTTAAAATATCCTTGATATTTGTTATCAATCGAATATTATCATTATTTTGATCGTCATCATCAATCTCATTTTCCTGTCTTTTCTCTATTGATTGAGATCCTATTTAATATTTTTTTTTTTTCAAAATGATTATTACAATATCTATTTTATATTTATATACATACCAACAAATAATTGTGATTCAATATGTGGATGTTGTGCTCGAAGTCTTTCGATCATGTCAATCAAATTACTATCATATTCTTGTATACAAAAAAGTATTTCATACTAAAATGTAAACAAAAAAACAAACATATTAATCAAATAAATGAATATG